AATGTTGAAATATACAGGGTGTTCCATTTGAAAAAATTGAGTTCCACTCATTTTTTCATGAGATCAAAGTATCTGCATTTTTTGAAGACCCTGTATGAGGCAAATGAAAATATGACTCGGAGTGAAAATCCTCATGGTATCACTCCACTCCATTTCTAATTTGATCGTTTTAGTGCAAAAGAGTTCAAGATTATCAGCATTTATAAGTTCATGTTTGGTAAAAAAAATATCGAAATTGATTTATATCTTTTAAACGGTAATAGATAGGTATAGGGAAATAGTATATGAATTTATTGATAAAGTGATAATGAATCATTATATGATATTATATACGGGGTGTTCCATTAAAAATCAAAGAAGCCGCTACTTTATAATAGAAGCGACAACGCCGCTCCGTCTGAAATATTTCAGGCGTATAGGTCATATTGATTTATGCATACTGTGAAATTTTCAGGTTGATCCGTTAAATAGTTCGTCAGGAACGGCTAATTAACGCTCATCATGAAAAGCCCTGTATAGTCAATCTATTTCTGATCGCCCGTTTCCTCAGTTCTTCAAGGCATTATCAGACCATGTTTCATGGTCAATTTCATTAGTTCGGACACACATTGTCTAATATTATATGATTTGAAATATCTGAAATAACAAATGGAAACTAAAAAGAATAGCTGAATATATTAACCAAAATAAACGACAACATTGTACCTGCACAGTAAGAAGTCATCCGAGTAGGGTCAGATGACTTTCGAACACTTAACAATAATCGCCAGATGATGACAAATATGATTTTGTCGAAACGTTGCGAAATTCATTCCCATCCGGGATGACAATACACCACACGGAATAAACCCGAAGAATAATTTCAACATATTCCTGTCCGTGAAAACCTTCGATTAACATTTCAAAACCTTTACGGGGAGATGAGGTCATATCGAGAAGAAGAAGAACTGAGGTACCAAAACATACAGGTACCAAACTTAGGTAATCAAGAACGGTATTTATGGAACGACAACATTGTACCTGCACAGTAAGAAGTCATCCGAGTAGGGTCAGATGACTTTCGAACACTTAACAATAATCGCCAGATGATGACTAATGTGATTTTGTCGAAACGTTGCGAAATTCATTCCCATCGGGGATGACAATACACCACACGGAATAAACCCGAAGAATAATTTCAACATATTCCTTAGTCATCTCTCGGAGTCATTGAAGACGATTGTGGACGTCGTGAAGTAACTTGGCTTGAAATATTTCGATATGTAGTTGTTTATTGCGCTTCAATTGTTCCATTTTCAATTTTTTTCTCAATTTTATTGTAATTTTTTTTCAGGGTTTTTTCTTGCTTAGTATAATTTTTATTTTCAGCTATTCTTTTTAATTTCCATTTGTTATTTCAGAGATTTCAAATCATGTCATATTGGACAATGGAAGTCCGAACTAATGAAATTCCCAGATCAGTCTCAATGTCACTTCTGAGCTCGTCAGTTTCCGAAATGCAACTGGTATGAAGATTTCTCCTCCCACAGTAAATTTCGGTTTTCGACTTGTCTGCCAATCAAGTGTTTCTGCCAAAAATGTTTACACGATAACTGTTCATTCTGCACCCTTTGCCTTTTGAAACTTCAACCGCGAAGTTTTTGTCGTTTTTCGTCGTGAGTTCATTTACGGAAATAATACTTGATGTACCCATAATTTTCTCTCATAGCCTTTTGAGAAGTAAAACCATGTTTTCTGCCATGAACCTGAAAGAGGAGCTCAGTCTTACACTCTTAGAGCAGAATTTTGTCTCACCTTATATTTTACAGTATTACTGGAGTTTTTTCCCAACACCAAATAGTTATTTTCAACACCTCGACACGTGTTTCGTTCACCAAATGATCATCTTCAAAAGGAATATTAAAAATAATGATTTGGTGTTGGGAAAAAACTCCAGTAATATTCATTACTACACCAAAGGTTCCAAACAGTGCAATACAAGTGTTACATTTTACAGTTGGCTCCCTTCCGATTGGTTCTTCATCCCAAAGTTATTCAAGGATTCCAATATATTCCTGCTATATTATTGTTTCAATTTTCAGGACCAACAGCCAAATAGTCCATTAGGAAAATTTAGATCACCAGACAACCTAGAAGATTTCCATGCAAGCGAGAGTTCGACTGAAAATATATGTGGAAAATGGGACTTAATTTTCTTTGTCAAGGAAATAGGTGAGATACGAAATAGAAATTTGTCTTGGAAATTTTCATAACACATGCAGTAGAACTTATTCGATTGATGACCCTCATCATTTATTTACCATGCTGTAGAATTGCCCTTATTATTAAAATGTTATTTGTGATCAATTAAAAACAGCGTAAGGAAAAATAATGGAATCGTGAATTGGAAAACATAGAAAATGTTGGTCGTTATCATGTTACTTTCCTTTGAAGAGGAGCATCCCAAGGCAGAGCTAAACCAACATCAAAACAGATCTGGAGAAAACTGTTTTTTCATTGACAATAATAATGTTGTGTGGTTGTTGTTTCCTTGATAATTATCAAATTCTAAAATCCCCAATAAATCCTACTTTCAGTCGGGATAAACTTTTATTGACTTTTTCTTTGACAAATCCATCAGTAACTATCCAAAACATTTTGTTTTTGTTATCTACAGGGTCATATTATACACAATTCAAAGGCAAACTAATAAAAATATGAACAAATCAATATAACAGTGGTAGAACCGGTGAAAATTTTTGAACTTACAAACAGAGTAGAACTTTCGTAGTGTAACCTCTTGAAAGTAAATTTAGACATAAAAAATCTGAACGCGAGACAGTTTTGCTACGTGTGCTCACAATGAAACAAAAACGACGATATGGAGATTCTTAATCTGGCCTACATGGTTCCATCTCACAAATGTTCTCATAATATCACAATATCGGGGAGTATTCCATGATATCCCTTTGGGATGTCGAAGACACTATTATTATATGATGTCGAAAAAAACATCTATCTGTAATATTGTCACAACGTCCTGGATACATTGTTTATAATCGATTGGAGCACCACCAAAACTTCGCCATGTTTCTAATAGGACAGTTGCATTCAATACTTTCAAGCTCTAGTGGATTACCTGCTTCAACATTTATGTTTTTCTTTTTAGGAAATATTTTTAAGCCAAGGTTGCCTTATACTTCTTTAATTTATA